ATGGAGGGGGGGATGGGGGCGGCGGGCGGCGGGAGGGCCCCGCCGGAGGGGTGGGCGTCGACGCCCACGCCGGCGGCCGCCGGCGCCGACCTCATAACGACGTTGGGAGATGGTGTTGGCGGCGGGGGGGGGGCAGCAGCGGGGGGGGGGGGGGGCGGCGGAGGGGGCGGCGGCGGCGGCGGCGACGGCGGCGGCGATGGAAGTGAGTCTCCTTCTTCTGTTGAGTTTTTTCTTGGAAAAGCTTGGGCGTCCGTGTTGTACACTCTGGGAGAGTACGGAAAGGGAAACAGCGTGTAGGGTGCTTGAACTGCGCGCCAGAGGCCTTTGCCTCAGCGGTCGCTCGCTGGAGGACACCTGCAGTCCCGTCCGTTCACCATCTCTCGACGCCAAAACGACATCCTCGCTCCACACATGTCTGCGTTTTTTGTTCGCCCGTCTCTCCTCGGCAAACACGCCTCCAAAAATTGTCCGTTCGGGGGCCGTCCTCCCCTAGGTTCGTCTTCATCCGATGATGATGACGAAAAGGACGACGACGAGCCGGACGAGACCCCCCTTATCCTTTACAACGAATCCCCCTCCTCCGAGTCCGAGTGCAGCAGCAGCAGCAGCAGCAGCGACGACGACGGGGAAGAGGACAGCGACGGCGGCCCGCCGGCCCTGGAGTCCTCGTCCAACACCGACAGCGACAAGGGGGCGGGTGCTTCATGGCGAGTACCACTTTGCTCGAAAACGTATTGGTCATTGGGATACAAGGACGCATGCCCCAGTGGTCCCTCTATTTCCGGACAGAAGCGGTAGTTGTATCTGCCTGTGGTAGATTTGCATGTCTCATTTTCGTTCGCGCAGTGGTGGCGCGGTCTTTTGTGGTGTTTGTCTGCGTTGCCCCAAGCGATTAGGCGTGGATACTACACCAGCAGCTGAAACCTACGGCGGTACTTATAGCCTGGTTGGTTTGGAAATTCTCTGGTATTTTCGTCCAGTGTTCCAGGGATGGCCGCACTCAACGGATGGTCTAGGGGAGGGAATACGATGGTTTTCCTACGCAAGGGAAGAGCTATGCCCCGTTGGAAAAAAGATTTTCGTTGAACGCTGTGATGTATCAAGGTCATGGGGTGCAACGATGCACCGCCCACTTCTCGGTTTTCTCGATTGACCCCGTCCCACCTGACACCATCTCATCCTATCTCCCCCATCGCCACCACCTATGCTCCTTAGGGATGCGAGGTCAATGGTCTAGTGGCTACGGCATGCGTTTACATGAGTATGCCCCGTCCTCCACCCTCTCTGCCCCCGCCCACGCGTTATCCATCTACCTTTGTAACCCCATGACAGTGGCGGCACTCTGTACTCGGAGTACGTGCTGGCGCGGGAGGGGCACCCGGGCCCTACGGCGTCGATGGCTTTCTGGCGGGACAAGAAGCACTCCACCAGCGCTGTCTTCACCGACTTCTTCGTGCAAAAGGTCGGTTGCTGTTGGCGTTGTCAGGTACTGTACCTCTCTTTCCTCTCTCCGGCGTACCGGTGCTCTAACGAGCAAGGGGGGTGTGGAGGTCGCGCCTTTATTCGGCGATGGCGGCGTCTGGTTGCCATCAACGTAAAGTCTGGCTTGCGTGTGGTAGTACATGACAGACCCCAACGTCAGAATCTAGATAGGAGGTAAGACATTTCGGCCTGTGTTCCTCTTCAAATTCAGGAGAGATTCAGCTCAACTCTGCTATCCCCGACCCTTGGTGATGTGAGAGCTTGGTCCGGTGAGAACCCGGCGTGCTCCGGCCCGACTTTGTAGGGACGCGAGATCAATGGTCTAACGACTACGGCATGCACGACCATGAGTACAACCCCAGACCCACGTCGTGGCTGTCGTTTGCCCCGCACGGAGAAAAATGAACACGTGAACCTGGTGCGCATGCTTCGTGTACTAAATGAACGTTTCTTGCCTATTGGCCAATTCTGTGGTCGAACGGCGGTGGAAGTTGCAAGCTACACCAAAAGAGAATCGCGGAGTACGGACCACTTACGACCGTTTCTCGTGCCTTTCGAACCGGTGTCTAGGTGGTGAGGGGGAGGCCGATCCCTCACGTGGGCACGGCGCTGTTCCTGAAGGACTTCCCGAGCGGGTTTCCGGAGTTCGTGAGCTGCGTTGGCCAGATGAAGCCGGCCAAGTTCAAGGAAACCTCGGGTAAGCCCCCAGCCACCGCCGCTGCCACCGCTGCTGCTGCCGCTGCTGCTGTGGCACGGTTGCTAGCCTTGCCGCCGCTGCTACGATGCACTTTGTTTGATTTCTTCTTTTGCTCTGGGTCTGCTGCTGCAGGGTCGGGGGCGTTTCTGATTTTGGTAGTGTTGCTGCGGCTTTCTGCTCACCGCTGCTGTCTCGGCTGCTGTTGCAGCTGTTTGGAACTACTGCTGTTGCGCGCGGCTACGGCCTTGGCTTCGGAGGCGCCGCTGATGCTACTATCATGCTGCTGTCGCTGCCGTCGCTGTCGAAAATCCCCATTCGGTTGCTTGGGCCTTGAGGGGGGGAGGGGGGCTGCCTGTGTGCCGCATCGTGCGTGATGATGAGCCCGACAAAACAAAACAAACTTGAGCAACAATAACGACAACAACAAAAACAACGACAGGCCTTGATGTCCCGCACGGATTCTACGAGTACGCCCGGGACGCGGCTAGCCGCAACGCTAAGTTGATGATGGCAAAGGTGAGAAGAGAGAGGGCGGGGGGGGGGAACGGAAATGTATAGGGCTGTCGTTTGCGCGAGTAGCGGTGCTTGAGAATGGACGGGAGGATCGATCGGTGTGTAGTGGTGGGAGGTGACTTTGCAGTTGTGTGCCCCCCTCCGCGTAACGATAGTTCTGTGGTCAGCCTTTCGTTTGTGGCAAGATGAGATAGTTGTGTTGGAAGTGGGCGATGACTTGCGGGGCTTGGTTCGGTGGTAGACAGTGCCATTTTGGCCTGATGTGCATGGTCTTACGTGTCAGGTGGTCTACGCACTGCTGTGTTGCCAGAGCTTGGTGCCCGTGGTTACAGAGTAGACGTGTGTACTTGATACACGGTGCCCATCTGTGTTGCTGTCTTTTCGCGGTTTCGCGAGCCGGGGATCTAGGGTACATGTCCACGAGCAGTGGCGAACCATGTCCTAATCGACATCGATGCCACAACCACCGCCCTGCGACGGCACGCTCCGACAGCTCAGGAAACACCGCTACTATTGACCTTCTTGTGACTGTCCCCTCTCCCCCGCCACCAGAGAAGCCAGCGGAAGTCCAAGCCCCGGAGCGGCCCCACAGACAGCGGCAAGAGGGTCACCAGCGGCGGCGGAGAAGGCGGAGAAGGCCCAGTGGACAGTGCCAGCGGCGCCGGCGGCGCGACCATCGCAAGGGCGATGCGGTGCGACTTCGAGTCGATCGCGAACCTTCGGCGGGAGGCAAGCTCGACCATCGCGGCCCTCGAGTCGAAGGCGAGTTGGCGTTACGGTGGTGGGCCTCCTAGTAGGGAATATGGTCGTTGTGCAAGACTGAGTTGCCGGTGTTGGTCGGGGTGCAGCTGTGCCATGGGAAGTTGTGGTATACTGAAGCCAAAATTTACGGAATCAGATGAGAGTATTTGGCCGCCTTTGTCGGCACGCCTTAAACATTGAGGTGAAAATTATGTAGGGTGTGCATTTAGTTAAAAAAAAAATGATACGTAGTATTGTATATTTTTGGGATTTGTGAAGGCCAAGTCAAACCATTAGACTAGTCAGCGAAGACAAGCCTAATAACTTATTTTCGGCTTCTCTAGGTCACTATACAGGGATTGTCGCTCTACAGCGCTGTATCGAGACAATACCTACCACTTGCTCGGTGCTTTGTGCCATCCCTTTCAGAGGTCCGGAGAGCTGATGACGAGTAGAGCATCTCATGTCTACTCCCTCTTCCGCAATCCTGGTGCAGTTGGTACTCCCACCAACCCCCGCTCCCGCACAAAGACCAATGCTACGTACATATCATGCCGCCTCTGCTCCTTACCGCCGCCAACCCCCCTCCCTGCCAAACAACAGCCGCTGACGGTCTTTCCACCGCCTACGTTCCTTACATCCGTGTACCCGGCCCGTCCAACGTAAAACAAAATTAAAGATGCGCGTGACTCTGGAGGCCCTGGAGCAAGCCCTCGACCGCGAGAAGGCGCGAAACGCGAAGTGTCTCGCGGCGGCTCAGAAGGAAGCCACCGACGCAAAGGCCGCCGCCAAGGCGAAGGTCGTGGAGGCTGTTGCGGCCGCCGAGGTTGAAGCGCTCAGCCGCGGGCAGGATGGATCGGGAGGGAGGTATCTGCAAATAGTTTGTACGGTCTGCTGGGGGGGTGGGGGGGGGTCGGGTTCTGTGTGCGGTAATTGTGGCAAGGTTTTCCTGGAAATCCCTTTTTTTTTTTTTTTCGTGTCTGCTTGGAAGGTAGGGTTCAAGGGCTACAATAGATGGATAAACTCTTTGGCTCTTCGACTCTCAGGAGGACTGTTTCTTTGCGAAGGGAACACTGCTGCTTGTGTGCTCGGCATGCTTCGGTGGCTTGATTCCACCGCAAGCTCCCTATTAGTAGACGTTGTTTCAGTTTGTGTTGTTGCTTTGTTGTGTTTGTTGTTGATAATTGTGTTGACAATGGAGATTCTTTTGTGGCCTCTCCGCCTGGACTTCCATCACGGAATCCTCATCTTGGAAGGCTGCCACACAGAAAACTGCATCTAAACCACCGAAGCTTCGTCGATCACACCCCAACTAGGGTCTCCGACAGCTTTCTATGATATTTGCCGCCCGTTTTCCGCCAATGGTCTAACCACCAAGGCAGGCAAAACGTGAGTACGCCCCCCCCCCCCCCTCCCTTTTTTTGTTCCAGCTTTTCCATCCCGGAGGCGCTGGAGCGCGCGGAAGCCCTGAAGAAACGTGCGAACACTGTTCTCGCGGACACGAGATACCCCGAGGCGGTGGAGCAGTACACGCTAGGGATCAAGGTGCGCGCACTCCCTTCCTGCGACCCATCTGCCTACAGTAGCTCTCCTTGAGGCTGATGGGGGGGGGGTCTGCCGATTTTTTATGAGGCGGGGGGGTGCGAAGCTGGGCGTCGAGAAGCGGGACAATTTTGTTGTCCTGGGCACAAGGAAAATCTGTGCACGTCTCTTTGCGTTAGGTGGGAGTGTTCGGTTATCTACAGCAGCGTTCAAGTCGGGTTGTGTGAGTCCTTATCTAGCCCCCTTTCCTCTCTGGAGGAGTAGGTGGCGTTGTTACCTTTGGCCATACACGAAGAAGAAATTAACGAAAGCATGCGCCTCACTGCTGTTACTGACTTTCCTGTCCCTTGGTGTGGCAACGACCTCCTTGGACGTACCTGTTCCCACCGCTTACTGTCTGTTTGCTTCTCTTTGGTTCCGTGCCCCCCTCCCCCTGCGTCACCCCCCTCGAACTAAATAGGTGCTGGAGGTGCACGTCAAGCCGGCGCCTTGGGCAGACCAGGGCAGCAGCGGGTCGCAGAGCGACAGCGACGAATCGGAAGAGGAGGAGGAGGAGGAAGGAGAGACGGGCGAGGACAAGGACAAGGTTGCCGCGAGGGAGATGCTGCTAATCCTCCTCTGCAACCGGTCGGTCGCGCACCTCAAGTGAGATGAGAGGGGGGGGGGGTGTACTCATAGTCGTGCATGCCGTAGTCGTTAGACCATTGACCTCGCATCCCTACAAAGCCGGGACGGAGCACGCCGGGTTCTCACCGGACCAGGCTCTCACATCACCAAGCGCGAAGCGCCGTGAGGTATTTGGCGAGTCGCATGAAGGGTGAGCTGCATCCTGCTACGGGTGTTCGGCATCTTGTGCTTACCTCCTTGCGTACGGATGACAGCTACGTATGACTTAGTTTATTTTCTGGTGCTTTCACTTCCAGAGACAGTTGTAAGCACTGTGTAACTGCCTCGAGGATGCTTGACCATTTTAACACAACGTGGTGCGATCATCCCCCTTGCGCGGAGTGAGGGTTCTCCACCCCGCACAACATGATCTACTCGACCACCATTATGGTTACCGCCAAAAAAAAAAAAAACGAGGTAAAAAAACAAAAAACGGTAACCTGGTTGCCGAGTTCACGAAGTGAATTGGCTTGTTTTACAACGTCGTTGCCAAGCGACGAAAACCCAATCCCGATGGCAAACACCGGGGGGGGCGGCTTGTTTTACAACGTCGTTGCCAAGCGACGAAAACCCAAACCCCGATGGCAAACACCGAGGGGGGGGTGAGGCGCTTGAATTTGTTCAAAAGGGAAGGGGTGCATAGTACCTTGGGATACCTTGGGATGCTGTTGGCATGTACGTGCAGTAGTTGGCCGGTTTTGGAATGTGGAATGCCCGGCAAGGATCGCGCTACAACATCCCCGCGGCGTATTTATGCAAGCAGCCGTGTTTGCAATGTGTTGTTGTCTGGGGCGCCGGTCGCACTCTGCCTCTGCCAACAATATCTACCTTTTGAGTGGCGTGGTTCTGTAACGACGACCGGTTCTGAATCCCGCAAGCGAGAGAAGCAACAGTGCTAACGTGCCGGGGGTGGCTCTGTTGCCCCTCCGTTATCATTTACTAGTATTGGCCCTGGCTGGATAGGCGCAAAACGATCAATATATATATATATTTGTCCTTGCTCCCTTTGCGGTTGGAATGAGGGTGATTGCGCCCCCTCTCGGCATCCCCCGCCAAAGCATCAATTAATTCTCTTTATAACATCGTCGACGGGTGACAAAGGGCCGTCTCGTTTGCGATACGTGGCGTGCGGGGCTCGTGGTGACAACCGTTACTTTTTATCGCTCTCGGCAGGTGGGGAAATCTCGGCAGCGCCAAGGCGGACGCTCAGCGGGCGCTGGACTTAGACCCGCACCACATCAAGGCCTACTTCCGCAGGGCGGCCGCACACAAGCAGGTTCGATCTTGATACCATGTTCGGCGGCGCGAGTCGCCGTGATTTGTCACCCTACGGCATTCTTGAATCTGTGGTGCTGGTTCAGACCAGACCAGTATTGCGCTCGGGCGTATCTGCGCCATAACCTAACCTGACTCCCCTCGTCGGCTTTGCGCACCGTCATCCCGCCGAGTTCGCGGTCGGTGCATACCGGAACGCCCAGCCGCGCCGTACAGACCGCGAAGGAAAGAAAGGCCGTGTCTGGCCTGGGGGACGAGGCATCTTTCTTTGCCCTCTCAACTCCACTTGCACATGTGCCTCGTTCCCTGGCCTCTCTTTCCTTCGCGGTCTGTACGGTGCGGCTGGGCGTTCCGGTGTTGTTGTTGTTGTTTATCACATTAGCTCTATAGTCCACAAAAATGGGGAGCCCGTGGTCGCAAAACCGGCACATACGACGACACCGCGTGGAAACAAAACAAAAATAGGGTACAAACCACTCGGAAAAAGAAAACAAAATGATAGAAACAAAAGAACAGCTACCGCACCGACCGGTCGAGAAAAGAGCCCTCGGAAACCGATCAAAAGAAAACAAAGCATAATAAAGATAAAAATAAAAGGAGGACGCTTCCCACACCCCTGCCTAAAAAATCAAAGGGTAACGTACCAGCACCAGACACTACGCACCAGGGCATGGGAGTAATGGAGGCAACAGAACAAAGAGGCGGCAGATAGGCAGACAGCCAGATATATAAGAGCAAAAGCACCAGCAAAAGGGAGATCAAGGTACCCAACAAGGCAGAGTAGGCAGGGAGGACATGAAAAAAGAAGCACAGCACAGAGGCCGGAGGCAATACAAAGGGCATACAGGAGTATAGCACACAGCAGGGAGGAGAGCAAGGCGCAACAACATCAGCCGGGTACACAGTTCGCCACAAGTGCTGCCTCGGCCGCCTTACTCGCTTCTACAGCAGTGCCCGGTCGCCGTTTCTAACCCCCCCACCGCCGCTTCCCCGACTCTCTTTCTCTTCGGTCCCGAGATGGCCTTACTCTCCGCTTCTGCTTCCCTCGCGCGCTGGCGCTTCGCGGACGCTTCCGCCTCCTGTCTGTGCCATTTCCTCATGAACCATGCCGCCCCGTCCTCGACCTTGTTGTACCACGCCTCCGGGTCCTTGACGCTCTCTTTCCATGTCCCCCCTTCCTTTTCGTCTCCCATGTTGAAGGCCACGAGGTCCTCTCCTAGACGAGACACCCAGTCGCTCTCCTGCCCGCCCCGGTATCCCACCCCCCCCGCCATCGCTCCTAGCAGCATGCGCTTGGGGAGGCGGTTGTCCTCCATGCGTATAACAAAGCCCGCGAAACACAGTCTCCGTTTGCGCACGGTGGGCCTCGATGGTTTCCTCGCAGCCGGCCTGGATGACAGGGGGCGGTCTGAGCGTTTCCGCTTGCTCCAGCCGATGCACCGTGTCAGGAACTGGCGGTGGGTCCCATTGAGCTTCGTGTAGTGCTCCGCTGTTAGGCTCCACGAGGTGCACCCGTATAGGAGAGTCTCCACCACTTCAGCCTGGAGTAGCCGGATCTTGAGCTGGCGGTCGGCCCGTCGCCTGTCGTACATCGAAGCACTGTTCCGGCGGTAGCACTTCCACGCTCGGCATCTGCGGTTCGTGATCTCCCGGTCGGCCTTCCCGTCCGCGCAGATGGTACGTCCGAGGTACACGAACCGATCTGTCTGCTTGTACGTCTGGCCGGCGGCGCTGACCGTGAACGGGCGTTCCTCGATCCCTTTCGGCAGCATGCACATGATCTCCGTCCTTTGGCTCCGATACCATCAGTCCGAACAGGCCGGCCACGCGCACGATGACCGACATGATCTTCTCGAGACTCTCCGGCGAGCGCGAGACGATGGCCGGCCGCGTCGTCAGCGTAGAGCATGGCCCACAGGGCCTCCACGTCCGTCACCACCGCCGTCTTCTTCCCCGCCGACCTGCCCTTCTTGCCCCGTGTACTCAGCTTGTGTCCCGATCTTGACCATGTCCGCCGTCACCTTGGGGTCCTTGTGTCGAACTCGGCCACGGCGACCATGAGCATCGCGGCAAAGAACAAGTTGAACAGCAGCGGGGCCAGGTTGCACCCCTGTCGGAGGCCTTGCCCCACGTCGAACCATTCCGAGTACTGCCCGTCGTCCGTTCGGACGCGGCGCCCTCATGCCCTCGTGGAAGTGGCGAATGACCGCCGGCATCTTCGGGGGGGCGCCGAAGCGTCGGAGCACGTCCCACAGTAGGTCTCGGTCCACCGAATCAATCGTACGCCTTGGTGACGTCGACGAAGCGCGCGAAGACCGCAGCACTCTTCTTCCTCGCGAGCTCATGGAGCCGCTGGATCGCGAACAGCATGTCGAGCGTCGAGCGGTGTGGGCGGAAAACGCTCTGCTCCTCCGGGAGGATGCCCTCTCGCTCGCAGTAGTGGCTCAGTCGGGTAGCGACGACCTTAAGCAGCACCTTGCCGGCGTGTGCGACGAGAGAGATGCCCCGGTAGTTGCCGCACTCCATCGGTGTGCACCAACCCCGAACTCGGCGGGATGACGGTGCGAAGAGCCGACGGGGGGGAGTCCTGCAGAACCAATCGGGTGGATATGAATGTTGCTGGCAAAATAAAAAAATAGAGACGCATGCGACCTATGGTGATGACTCAAGGTGTGCCTGAACGATTTTAGAGATAGTTACGGGAAAATTTTCGTCACATGGCAGCTATACAAGTGCGTATATCACCATGTATTTTCCAACTTTATTTACGGAAGATATCACACCCCGTGAGGTCAGGACGCGTGTGATCACGGAGCCCATCTTACCACCACCCCGGTGATGACTCAGCAAGGAACGTGCCCAAAACACCCTCGTGCGCGGGGGAACCACCCCGTAAGCGGTCCTTCAACGCAACAACCAAAATGATGCCTCCCAACACTAGCTCCCCGGAACAGAACGTCTTAACAGGTAGTAGCTGGCAGTGTTGTCCACTCGTACGTTTAGCAGTCCCTGTGCTCCAGCACTGATGATGCTTCAACGTGATCGGGCGCAAACGGAATGTCCTGCGAGCAGCTGCCTTCTCTCGGTGCGCATGACTCCTCTTCTATACGCACGCAGACATCCTCTTTGGCACATAATAATAAATGCTCACTTCTCATCAACTCCAATAAACACCAATTTCAGACTCCTCCCCCCTTAGGTTGGATCCATCTGAAATACTCGCCTTTTTTTCAATGCTTTCTTTGTGGCCAGCGGTAGTGATGGATGAAACGAATAAACTTGGGGGTCACATGCATTGGTCATGCGAGTACATATGCTTGTTGCGCTCGCGCGGTTTATGTATGCACTGGCAGGCGGAGCGTTTCCGCGAGGCCCTGGCCGACCTGAGGTACATCCTGAGGCTCGAGCCTCCCCCGCGGAAGGGGGTGGCGGTGAGCAAGGACATCCTCGACGTGCAGAGGATGGCCAAAGAATGCGAGCAGAAGGTGAACGTGTGTGTGTGTGTGTTTTTTTTTTTTTTTTTTTTTTGTACGCATCGACCGTGCTGACAGGCTAACCATTTGACGTATCTGTGCTAGCGAGATGTATGTGTACGTTGTTGTGTCTTTGATTTGTGGTAAGCATCGACGGTACTGGCCAATGAACATCTTGTAGGCTAGCGAGATGTTTGTGTATTGTGTATAGTGTCGTTGCCTTGACGTTAAGAATCCGTCTCGCCTCTTTCCAGACTCTCCCCCTTCCCTACTCTCCATAGGAAAGGACACAATTTCCGTGACCACATCCTACACCCTAAATACGGCGCGGTCATGATAAAGTTGTGTGCATGAACAAGAAACACCCAGAGTAGGTCGAACAACAAATATTCTACGGTACACGTACCGAGAAAAAGAAACAGACCGGACATGTGCGGATGAATAAATACCTCTTGGTGCTAAGCGAGAATCTCGGCTGAATGCGCCGGACGTTTCACGTACGCTTTCCCCACGTCACGTCCCGCTCTGAGACCACTCCTTTCTCTCGCGGCGCCGCTCACCTCGACCTGTCTTTGGCGTGGGCTGCTGTGATTGTATCTTTTCTTGTGTTTTGCGGCGGGCAGGTGCGAGCAAAGGGGTTCGGGAAGGCCCTTCAGGAGACGGGCAAGGAGGCCAAGGGTGCCAAATCGGCGTCCGAGCTGAAGGAGGTAAGTAAGACTGTGTGTGGGGTTTGGGCATGGTCGATTGTTTTGTCCCTAGGTAGGCTGTTAACTCTTTTGTTATTTAGGACTCCGGGTGTTGAGCGGGAGTCTGTCAACCCCTGCAAACCGATCCCGTATTTTACATGCATGATCACCCCCCGAAGTGAATCAGTAACCCCCCTCCAACCGAGTCAGAATTACAGACATTTATCGCACACACACCCTCCCTAACACCCCCGTTCACCCGGGTGCCGGTATTCTGCGTCCCCCCCTCCCCCCCAGGCGAGAGAGAAGTGGGACGCTTTGCGCAGCAAGGACGACCGGAAACGGGTGAAGCAGCAGGCCAGCGGCGCGAGAAACTTGCCGCGCGGCGGCTCGGGGCAGGCGGCCGCCGCTATGCCCCTGCCACCCCCGAGGGGCCAGCGCGCCGGGGGCGGGGACGCGGCGGGGACGTCATCGTCGTCGGCGGCGGCGGCCTACTGGGACATGGTCGGCGAGACCTTCCTGCCCCCGAAGTCGGCGGTGCCTACCCTGAAGGAGCGGGCGGCGTGGGTGGCGGCGGGTAGCATCGACCGCGCCCCCGAGGTGTGTGTGTGTGTGTGTGTGTGTGTGTGTTTGTGCGGTCACACGGTTCAGCAAAGGACGGACTTGCACCGTGGTTGTTTTTGTTTAGCTGCGGTGTGAGTGTTTGACGACGAGATTTTTTTGTGCGATCGGAATATTTCCCCCTTTTTGAGGAGGGAGGGAGTGTGTGTTGAGCGATGCGTAAACGCGGGCGGCTGTTGCAACGGGAAAACCTTTTTGCCACTTTTCGGGGTTGTGCGAGAACTTGGCTCGAGTTGCGAAGCGTGCGCTGAAAACCGTTTTTTTGGTTCGTGTTTTTCTTTTTTTTTTGCTATCATGCCCTCTGTGTTGACAGCCTGTCCTTGTAATCAATCCTCCCCCTTGACACGCTTGTCTGGTTCATCCTTGTCAAACGTAGCCTGCGCCGGCATATCGGCCCGTACCGGCATTGTAGGGATGCGAGGTCAACGGTCTAACGACTTCGGCATGCGTTTACACGAGTACATCCCCCCCTTCCCACGTTTTGTGGGTGTCGGGTTTTCCCCCCTTTTCCCTTATTTTTCGGTTGTGTCTTGTGTCTTGTGTCTTTGTCGCACAGGCGTTCGTGCAGTGGTGCGAGGGCCTCCTGTCGGAGTACCTCGTGTGCATCTTCGAGCGGCTCAACTGGGTCTCGCTCCAGACGATGATGGCTTCCGGCCGCTACGACGAGGTAAGAAAACGCCTCTTGTCATATTTTGCTCATCGAAGGCAAAGCACCGCAGGAGGGGTGAGTAAGGGGGCTCATGGAGAGGAACTCTTCTGTGTGACCAGTGGGTTGGAGCACACGGCACAAATTACTGTGAGCGCTGAATTGAAGTGAAGACAAGTTTTTTTTTTCAGAAGAACATGTCATGCCTGCGATGAAACGTGCTTGCCACGTATGTGTGAATGGCCACGGTTGTTCGTGTTAAAGAAGATACGAGCGCGACATGGGTACACACCTAGGCTTGACAACAAGACGCCGAAAACACACGTACACAGCGGAACGAGCCTAAGAACTGTGTGTTGGTGTGATCTAGGGACGCCGATAATACCGTCTAATCATTGGTCGAAAGCCATTTAATTTCGTTGGTTATTGAAACTAGACGTGGGTTTTATTTGACCTAACACACTCACGCGCGCGCGTACACACAGGTGGGCGTCATAAGCTCCAACAACCAAACAGACAACTGGCAGGCGCAGGACAAGTACTTCCGCCAGCTGTACGCGGCCACCCCCCACGATGACTTCCTGGATGCTTCGGCCGCCGCGGCGGCCGCCGGGGGAGGAGGGGGGGGCGCCGTGGCGGGGGCGGGGAAGAGCATAAAGGGCAGGTGGAAGGGGCCGGTCAAGCTGCTGTCCCCGCTGGTGCTGCACCCCCACCTCGGCCTCATGGACGTGCTGGAGAACCACACGTGCTTCACCTACCAGGTGTGTACGTTGTAGAGCGGCCTTGTTTCTTTGTAAAGTTTCGGTTTCAAACAAACCCGGTTTGTACAACCCCCCACTACACCGCTGGACCCCCCTTTATAGTTGTTGTTGTTGTTGTTTGTTGTTGTTTGTTGTTGCTGTCGTTGTTGTTGTTGTTGTTGTTGTTGTTGTTGTTGTTGTCTTCACATTAAAAACCGCTCCGGTCTCTGTTCAGTATACCTCCTGACACCCGTATCGGCCTAACTGACGCGGACGCCTTGCGTGGTCACACAGTTCACATACACCGGGGCTGCTGCTCCGGGCTAACACCTCCCCACGCCGCTTCTTCACCCCCCCCCCCCCA